TCCCTATCCTTTTGTCTCTGTTTATTCTTTTTTCTTTTGCCCTACCCAGGTACGTGGGGACTTTCTTGCCTTTTGGGAGGTCTGAGGTCTTCTGCCAGCGTTCAGTAGGTGTTCTGTAGGAGTTGTTCCACGTGTAGATGTATTTCTGGTGTATCTGTGGGGAGGAAGCTGATCTCCGCGGTCTTACTCTCCGCCATCTTCCCGGAAGTCTCGGGCCTATTTCTTTAAGTGAGTTGTTTTCTTATTGTTAAATTACAAGAGTTCTTTGTATATTTTGGATAACAGTCCTTTATTTGATGTGGTTTTTGCAAATATTTTCTCCCAGTCTGTGACTTGTCTTTTCATTCTCTTGATAATGTATTTTGCAGAGCAGAAGTTTTTAACTTTAATGAAGTCCAGATTATTCATAACTTTTTCCTGGATTATGCCTTTGGTATTTTATCTAAAAAGTTATCACCATACCTAACGTCATCTAGATTTTCTCCTGTGTTATCCTCTAAGAGTTTTATAATTTTGTATTTTACATTAGGTCAATGATCCATTTTGAGTTTTGTGAAGGGTTTAAGGTCTTTGCCTAGACTGATTATTTATTTATTTATTTGGCATGTGAATGTCTAATTGTTCCAGCAGCATTTGTTGAAAAGACTGTCATTGCTCCATTGTACTGCCTTTGCTCCTTTGTCAAAGATCTTTTGACTACATTTATGTGGGTCTATTTCTGGGTTCTCTATTCAGTTGCATTTGTCTGTCTGTTTTTTTTTTTTTTTGCTAATGCCATACTGTCTTGAATGATTGCAGCTTTATAGTAAGTCTTAAAGTCAGGAAAATCAGCCTTTCAACATTGTCCTTCTCCTTCAGTACTCTGTTGGCCGTATTGGGTCGTTTGCTTCTCCAGATAAACTCTACAACCAGTTTGTTGATATGCACAAAATAACTTCTTGGATTTTTGTTTTGATTGCATTATACCTCTAGGTCATGCTGGAAAGAACTGACATCTTGACAATATTGTTTCTATCCATGAACATGAAATGTATCTCCATTTATTCAGTTCTTTTTTTATTTAATTCAACAGAGTTTGATACTTTTTTCATTTATACCTTGTATATATTTTGTTGGATTTGTACCTAAGTAATTGGGATGGGGGCTAATGTAAATGGTATCATATTTTAAATTTCAAATTCCACTTGTCATTGCTGGTATACAGGAAAGTAATTGACTTTCATATAGTAACCTATTAACCTTTTATCATGCAACCTTGCTATAATTGCTTATTTGTTCCAGGAGGGTTTTTCTTTCTTTTTTTGGGTGGAGGGAGGGCTGTTCTTTCAGATTTTCTGTATACATAGGCAATATATCATCTGTGAACAAAGACAATTTTATTTCTTCCTTCCCAATCTATATAAATTTTCTTGTCTTGTCTTGTCATATCATATTAGCTAGGACTTCCAGAAATACGTTGCAAAGAACTGTGAGAGAAGACATCCTTGCTTTGTTCCTGATCTCAGTCAGAAAGCTTTGAGTGTCTCACCACTTAGTATGATGTCACTACAGATTTTTTGTAGATATTATTTATCAAGTTGAGGAAGTTCCCCTCTATCTTAGGCTGCTGAAGGTCTTTAATCATGAATGGGTGTTGGATTTTATCAAATGTCCTTTCTGCATCTATTGATATGATCATGTGGTTTTTTTTGTTTTGTTTTGTGTTTTAGCATGTTGATGTAATGGATCACATTAATTGATTTTACAATGTTGAACAAGCCTGGCATAGCTGGGATAAATCCCATTTGGTTGTGGTGTGTTTAATTTTTAAGAAACTACCAAACTGTTTTCCAAGATGGATGTACCATTTTATATTCCCACCAGCAATGTAGGATTCTAGTTTCTCCACATTATGACCTCCACTTATTATTATATGTCTTTCTGACTATTGCCATCTAGTTGGTATAAACTGTTATCTTATGTGGTTTGGATTTGCATTTCCCTAATAGCTAATTGTAGTGAGCACCTTTTCACGTTCTTATCAGTCATTTGGATACCTTCTATGGTGCAATGTCTATTCAGATCTTTTGCCCATACAAAACATTGGGTTATTTGTCTTCTTATTGAGTTGAAAGACTTATTCATGTATTATGGTTTCTATATGTGTTGTTGTTGTTTTTTGCTTTATCATCTTAGAAACGGATGTAGTCTATACAGCCTTTCTATTTCCATATACTAATGTGGTAGATGCTTTCTTCCTGTAAAGAGCAGATTTATATTAACATCGTGTCATTTAGACTGAGGACTGCAAGGAGAGGGCAGGAATCCAGACAATCAGATCTCTGGGACTTTCTGCACATTTTCTCATATTTTAAACTACTTAATCTGATACCAAATTATAAGAGTATCTTAATAGAAAAAATAACCTTAGAGTTACAGATTTTTCTCTTAAGTCAGGATGAATCAGCCTCATTTGTGAGAGTTTGTGTTAGAATTCAACCTTGGATAGAATTTCTACCTTGGATAGAATCACATGGGAAGCCTTATACATAACCGTTTCCTGTGATTTGCCTCCAGATTTTGTCATAATAGCCTGGGGTACAGGTTGGGCAATGGGGATTTTAAAAAGTTCTGCAGGTGATTCTGATGTGCAGTCAAAGTTGAGAAGTACTGAGTTAAACAAAGCGGTTGTGCCTGAAGGTTTTCTGTCTGTTGACAATAAATGACCCACCCCTACACATTTAGTTGGCAAGTAAATTGGTTAGCCTGTGTGCATGGCCACATAACTTTCAGATTGGCAATGTATATGTGGGCATGGGGTTTTCACTCAAGTCAGAGGAAGAAGGCACTGCAATTAAGAAACTGTTCAGAAACTGTCTGAGAAAAACTGAAAAAGGATACTCACTTTGCCTTCAGCTAAACCTCGCCTCAAAATTTTCCTACATGCCGCGGGTAGAGAGGCGGGAAATGTTGCCATCCTACCTACTTTCTGCACTTTACTTACTTTCCATAACACTGTATCAATGATTCTCAAACATTAATGTGTTTCAGAATCACTTGGAGAGTTAATGAAGAATAGAGAGACTCAGACACATTAAGTAGGTAAAGGCCTGGGCCTCTATATTTTAACTATTTATCAGATGATTCTGATACATATCAGAATTTGAGAATCACTGCACTAAGATATTTTCCTGAGAACTTTAACTAGTAAGGGCCTTAAAAAAAGGAGATTTGTGGGCTGTTTTGATGCATATTCTGCTGTGGATCAAACTTCGATTATACTTAGTAGAAATTTCTTGAGCTGTTATCGTCCTACTTTACTTGACTTTTGTCTTTAGAATGCATTCTATTGGGTTGGCCAAAAAGTATATCAAACACTAAGCACAATCAAAAGCATAACAATATAGAACAACACCTTATAAATACCTAAGACTTTAATCACATAGTTTATTCTTGCCTAAAAGTCTGGAGATGTTCTGATTGTATATTGTTGTGTCACAAACCACTGCAAAACTTAGTGGCACAAATCAACAACCACTTTATTGGGCTTACAGATTCTGGGAATCAGGAATTTGGACAGGTCATAGCAGGAAT